AGCGAGGCAGGAAGAAGTTAGTTTCTTCTGATAGGAGAGCAATAAATTCTTTCTCTGTGAAAGATTTCGGTGTCCTGTGGCCGCTATATTTGCAAAAAGCCAATCATAAAATACACATTTCTCAGACAACCTCAGAATGGCTTGCTGTTGGGGAACACTCTGTTTGCTTGGGATAAGGGCAAGTTTGACCTTCTGTTGATGCTGGAAAGGATTTGGAAGCGCTCAACAGAGCCCTGACTGAGAGCTTCCCTGTTGTGGTACATGTTTTTGATTGTAATTCGGCCCTAGTAGTCAGTTTTATGACACCCCCTTATTTGGTATTGTTATACCATATTTTATTGCCAATGAGTTGCTCAATTCCCCCCTGTATTGTTGGTTTTTCCCTAGTTGTCCATCTCCCCAAAGACCTACCCTTTTGTTCCCTGTTCCTCCTCCCATTCAATGTCAATCCCTCCCCAAGCCTGCCCCTTTCTCTGGAAACTTCCCTATCCATTTTGTATCCTTTGAAACCCTAATGGTTTTTTTAAGTTGTCCTCCTCCCCTGTAATCCCCTATTGGTATAAACAATGTATTCCCTGCCTTGTGTTCCACCCTCAGTTTCTCCCAAGTGGCTAAAGACTGTATCCTCCCCAGGGACCTCCCCAGTTTGGAAATGGGTGTATGGCAGTAATTCAGTGTCTTTCTGCCGCTGAGTTGGCAGGGAACAAACATAGAGAAGAGCTCTCCCTGTTCCTTGTCCCTACCCCAGCGCAGTCCACCTGTGCTGTAAAGCAGCTGTGCCCTACAGCCAAACCCCAGAGTTGACAGCTTTCTGGGGGCGGCCCACTCTGGGGGTTGGTGTTGGCAGCAAGTCGGGCTGAAGAAATCGGGCACTGCAGCACTTCCCAAATGAGCTCTTCTCTTGCAATAAAGAGATGGAGCTGCCAGCCCAGTGTCCGGGTGGCAGCAGCAGCAAAGCCCACCGGGCAGCAGCACAGGCTGAGCTCCATGGCCAGGAGCAGCCGTGGATGCCCACAGTGTGGGCAGGCAGGAGCCAGGCAGGGGCTGCTGTGACCAGCGGCGGGGCCCTGAGGGCTGGGGGAGCCCATGCTGAGCGTCCCTGGGCTGAGGGCACATTTCCTTCCCTGGCATCAGCTGGGCCTGGGCCTCCTCCAGTGGCATGCCCAGGGAAAGAGGGAAGCCATCGGGAGGTGCTTACCTTGAGAACAATGGAAAGAGGCTGGACTCTGAAGGAAGTCCTTCATAGCCTGAGGGATGAGCTCAGAGCCCGACAGACTCTGGGCCTGTGGCAGCCCCAGACCTCTTATGAGCAGAGTGGGGATTTGTCCCCCAGGCCTCATCTGTTGCCCCAGGGACACATGGTGAACACACACACAGAGAAGATGGCTCAGCACTGGTGCTGCTCCCTGAGTGTTATGTTTGGGTCCCTCTAAAGGCATGCAGGGGCTTTGGGCCACCTCTGTGCTGTGCAGGGGACTGGGGACACCCAGAAATTTTGCAGGGAATTGAATGTATGTCCAAAGGTGTGTGGGGGCATCTGTAAATTGAGCAGGTCTCGGAGGACTTTTTTCAAGGACACAGGGGGATTTTAGGGTGGCTGAGGACACCCATAAGATGTGCACGGGGTTTGGGTGTCCCCTAAAGTGTGCAGCTACCCTGAAGGCCTGTGTTGCATTATTTTTGTCAGCTTTGGCATCAAGTTGTTCACTTTTTAAATATGGGCCAAAGCACAGCACAATGCAGAGTAGGGAGTTGGTGTCAGAATGGCAGGACTGCTGCTGCATGCAATAATGGGAATCATGAGTTGAATTTTTGACTTGACATTGCTATTATATGTAGAACCACAAAAAGTGTCACTTGTGCAATATCGTGTACCTCAGTTGTGAAAAAATCCGAGCTTGCAAATAGGTACTGGGCGGGACATCATCTCCTTGCTGGAAGGGCACCGTTGGAGATCAACTCCAACTAAATCCTGCCCCAGCCATGAGGTCACAGCAGGCTCTGAGGTCACAGAAGTGCCAGAGCCCCGTGGTAGCACAGCAGCACAAGGAGCGAGCAGTCAGTGCTTGAGCACAACTGTTGCGGCAGCAGCAGCGGCGGTGGCAGCAGTGGTGCTGACATTGGGACAGGGGTGTCAGGACAGCGGTGGCAGCAAGAGCTGCGGGACTGGCAGAGGGCAAGGCAGCATGGCCCTTGCTCTGCGCCTCTTCCTCCTGCTCCTCCTGGCCGTGGCCCTGCCTGCCAGGGCTGCCCAGGCTGCTCCGCTGCAAGCGTGGCGAGCAGGTGAGCCGGCAGCCTGGCTCCCCTTTCCCGGGACAGCGCTCCCTGCTCCCCGGGAAGCGCTGGGGATGGTTTTCCCCAGGCCTTTAAGGGAGGGTTTCCTCTGGGGGAGGGAGAGAGCTCCCAGGGCCCTGGGCTGCCCCAGTTTCCCCTCCCGGGATGTGTCACAGGGCCTGCAAAGAGGGTGCAGAGTGACCAGGAGCCAGCCCAGAGCTCCCCAGGCCCCTGTGCAGCTTTGGCCTTGTCCATTGACATCTGGCCCCCACAGCCCTTGCCAACTCCCTTGCAGTGCCCAGTTCCCGGAGGGAGAAGGGGATGCCAGCGCATCATTGAAATGGGTCTGGTCTTTGCTCCCTTCTAGATTTGGATCGCGAGTTTAATGATTTAGATTTGTTGTTGAATGATATTTCGAATGTCTTGAAGAATGCTATAGGTAAGTTCTGAATTTCCGTTACTAGTGACATATTAATCAGTATCGAAGTTGCAAGAGCTCGTTCATCTGCCATTTTCATTAGAAGGGTTCTGAAAACCTTGCCCTGCTCTTTTCTGGAGCCCTGAGAGATCCCACAGGATGACTGTCAGTGGGAGGAAGGAGCATTTAGCCGTCCAACCTCCTCCCATGTTCAATGCCACTGTGTCCTTCCGTGCGGTCTGTGCAGTCACAGACAAAAGCAGAGAGGGAAGGTGCAGGGCCCAGGGCTGTGCCCCGGGGCTGAGCCTTTCCTGCAGCCTGAGGATCTCCTACACTGCCATGGGTGCTGCTCTGTCCTGCCTTTCTTTGCAGCTGAACCTGTTGGTGAAGGTGATCTGGCTTTCCAACCCACGTCCACGACTGAGCCTCTGGGACATGGCGAGGGTAGGTCAAGGCCTTTCCCCTGGGAGAGCTGCCAGCTCAGAGCCCAAAGCTCGGCCAGGGGGGCATCGCTGCAGGTTCCAGGACAGAGCCATACACGTGTTTGCCCTCGCCCTGCGCCATCCCCTCACCGCTCCTGAGGCTCAGTGGTGCCCGTGCAGCTGAGTAGAGGCGGCAGAAGCTTCTGTGGCTGTTGTGTTACAGATGTGTCTACAGGGAGGACTCTTCCTGATCCTTCCCTCATTCCTACACAGAAGCCTGCCTCCCATCACAGGGGTGAGTAGTGTGTCCCTGCTGACCCCACAGGCTGAGCCCTGCTTCTGTGGGATCCATTAATGGGAAGAGGAAACATGTTTTTCTAAGGTCCTCTAAAAGGAAAGAACAAAGCTGCAGGACAGAAGAAAGCCCATGAGTCATCTGAACACATGAGGCAAAGGACGAAGGAAATGCAGCAGGCAGGACAAGGTGGGTGCATTTCCCTCAGCCTTGTCCTGGGGCTCAGCAGCTGGGGGCTTTGGCTGCACATCTGGACACGCCGTGCCCGGCACAGCAGGAAGGGATCCATGGCAGCCTCGCTGCCCCGCTGCTGCTTCCACGCCCTGCAGGGCTGTTTGCCAGCCTGGCCTGGCTGCAGCTGCTCCCTGGCCACTGCAGGATTGATTGTGGCATCAGCTGACAGGCAGCCCAAACTGCAAAATGCACCTCAGATCCCCTGCAATTTCCCATCTCCAGGCAAATCAGAAGGGGCAGCTGTTTGGAGTACAGAGGGCTCTGGTCTAAACAAAAATTTTATAGGAATTTCCTCACCATTCTTTACCATGTCTGTGACAAGCATTGCCTCTTGAAGATTCCCCATCCTCAATGGGGAACAGCACCACCCAATCCAGCTGTACCACATCTTTTCTCCAGAAGCAGATGGAGAGGCTGTGATGAAGGCTCAGTTTCCCGGAGGAAGCAGTGGCTCATTGGCAACTTCTGCTGCAGGAAGGGAGGCAATGCCAGGCACAGCCACAGGAGGTAATTGCTGTGCCTCTGGGCCTGAGCCCTGCTGGGGCTTGAGCTGCCCTCTCTGCAGCTTGGTACTGTGGGCACAGCCCGGACAAGACGGGCACAGCCCAGAGGAATTGTCCCAAGCAGGCTCAGGGCACTCGGGTACTGAGCTGTCCTACTGGGGTCCCTCCGTGGGAGACACGTCTCCAAACCTGGGAGCGGCTGCACGGGGTGCCCATGGTGGGGAAAGGGCAGAGGGGGAGAGCAAGGCTGCACTGGGTCCTGAGAGGGCTTGGCCATGTGCCCTTGGGATGGAGAAAGGGGTCCCAAGGCAAAGAGAGATGGAGAGATAGAAGAAGGTGGGAAAGGCAGGAGAAAGGACAGGAGAGTCAGAGGGAAAAGGGGGATAGCTGCGGCACTGCCTGCTGCAGTTTTCCCCAGGGCTTTAGCAAGAGTTGCAGCTGTGGGAGTGAGAGCACCCAGGGCTTTGGGCTGCTTCAGCCGCCCCACCAGGGATGTTGCACAGGGTATGGAACGAGGGTGCAGAGTGACCAGGAGCCAGCCCAGAGCTCCCCAGGCCCCTGTGCAGCTTTGGCCTTGTCCATTGACATCTGGCTCCCACAGCCTTACTCGACCCCCTTGCAGCGCCCATTTCCCAGAGGCAAACGGGGATCCCAGCATGCCCTGAAAAATGTTCTCATCTCTGCTCTGTTCTAGATGAGGTGTCTGGAAAGGCTTCTCCATTAGATGGACGGCATAAAATTTTGAAGCCTTTGGAACCTCCTGCAGGTATGTTCTCATTGTCCCACCACAGAATAATTGTTGGCAACCTGGCAGGAACCAGGTGACAGAAGTTGCTGTGGCTGTTGTGTTACAGATGTGTCTGCAGGGAGGACTTTTCGTGTTCCTTTGCTGGTTCCTTCACCGAAGCCAGGCTCTCATCGCAGGGGTGAGTAGTGTGTCCCTGCTGACCCCACAGGCTGAGTTCTGCTTTTGTGATATCCGTTCATAGGAAATCAAACCATGTTTTCTAAGGTCCTCCAACAGGAAAGTACAAATCTACAGCACAGAAGGAAGCTCATGAGCCATCTGAATACATGAGGCAAAGGACAAAGGAAATGCAGCAGGCAGGACAAGGTGGGTGCATTTCCCTCAGCCTTGTCCTGGGGCTCAGCAGCCGGGGGCTGTGGCTGCACATCTGGACACGGCGTGCCCAGCACAGCGGGAAGGGATCCATGGCAGCCTCACTGCCCCGCTGCTACTTCCATGCCCTGCAGGGCTGCTTGCTAGCCTGGCCTGGCTGCAGCTTCTCCCCAGCCTCTGCAGGAAGGCATTGGGCATCAGTTCACAGGCAGACCAAACAGCAGCAGGGACCTCAGATCCCCTGCAATTTCCCTGTCGCCAGTCAAATCAGAAGGGGCAGCTGTTTTGAGTACACAGGGCCCTGGCCTAACCAAAAATTTTATAGGGATTTCCTCACCATTCTTAACCATGTCTGTGACAAGCATTGCCTTCTGAAGGGTCCCCATCCTCAAAGAGGAACAGCCCCACCTGACCCAGCTGTACCACATCCTTTCTCCAGAAGCAGATGGAGAGGCTGTGATGAAGGCTCAGTTTCCCGGAGGAAGCAGTGGCTCATTGGCAACTTCTGCTGCAGGAAGGGAGGCAATGCCAGGCACAGCCACAGGAGGTAATTGCTGTGCCTCTGGGCCTGAGCCCTGCTGGGGCTTGAGCTGCCCTCTCTGCTGCTTGGCACTGCGGGCACAGCCCGGACAAGACGGGCACAGCCCAGAGGAATTGTCCCGAGCAGGCTCAGGGCACTCGGGTACTGAGCTGTCCTGCTGGGCTCCCTCCGTGGGAGACACGTCCCGAAACCTGCGAGCGGCTGCACGGGGTGCCCATGGTGGGGAAAGGGCAGAGGGGGAGAGCAAGGCTGCACTGGGTCCTGAGAGGGCTTGGCCATGTGCCCTTGGGATGGGGAAGGGGTCCCAAGGCAAAGAGAGATGGAGAGATAGAAGAAGGTGGGAAAGGCAGGAGAAAGGACAGGAGAGTCAGAGGGAAAAGGGGGATAGCTGTGGCACTGCCTGCTGCAGTTTTCCCCAGGGCTTTAGCAAGAGTTGCAGCTGTGGGAGTAAGAGCACCCAGGGCTTTGGGCTGCTTCAGCCGCCCCACCAGGGATGTTGCACAGGGCATGGAACGAGGGTGCAGAGTGACCAGGAGCCAGCCCAGAGCTCCCCAGGCCCCTGTGCAGCTTTGGCCTTGTCCATTGACATCTGGCTCCCACAGCCTTACCCGACCCCCTTGCAGTGCCGATTTCCCAGAGGCAAACGGGGATCCCAGCATGCCCTGAAAAATGTTCTCATCTCTGCTCTGTTCTAGATGAGCTTGCTAGGAAGATTTCTCCATTAGATTGGCTGAAGAAAATTTTGAAGCCTTTGGAGCCTCGTGCAGGTTTGTTCTCATTGTCCCACAAGAGAATAATTGTTGACAACCTGGCAGGAACTTGGTTAGAGAAGCTTCTGTGGCTGTTGTGTTACAGATGTGTCTGCTGGGAGGACTTTTCCTGTTCCTTTGCTGGTTCCTTCACCGAAGCCAGGCTCTCATCGCAGGGGTGAGTAGTGTGTCCCTGCTGACCCCACAGGCTGAGTTCTGCTTTTGTGATATCCGTTCATAGGAAATCAAACCATGTTTTCTAAGGTCCTCCAACAGGAAAGTACAAATCTACAGCACAGAAGGAAGCTCATGAGCCATCTGAATACATGAGGCAAAGGACAAAGGAAATGCAGCAGGCAGGACAAGGTGGGTGCATTTCCCTCAGCCTTGTCCTGGGGCTCAGCAGCCGGGGGCTTTGGCTGCACATCTGGACACGCCGTGCCCGGCACAGCAGGACGGGATCCATGGCAGCCTCGCTGCCCCGCTGCTGCTTCCACGCCCTGCAGGGCTGCTTGCTAGCCTGGCCTGGCTGCAGCTTCTCCCCAGCCTCTGCAGGAAGGTATTTGGCATCAACTGACAGAGAGCCCAAACTGCACCATGGATCCCCCTGCATTTTCCCGGTGTCTGAGCACATCCTGAGGTGTGCCTGCTTGGCAGAGGGAGGGCCATAGGAAGCCCCAAAGGCCTGTGGGGATCAGGATTTTCCTGATTCTTATCCATGTTGTGGACAAGTATTGCCTCCTGAAGAGGCCACCACCTGCATGTGCAATGATTGCATCTGATCCCACCAAGCCTCTTCCTTTCTCAAGGGATGGACAGAGAGGGTCTGTGGAAGGCTGCATTTCCTGCAGGAAGGGAGGCGATGCCAGGCACAGCCACAGGAGGTAATTGCTGTGCCTCTGGGCCTGAGCCCTGCTGAGGCTCGAGCTGCCCTCTCTGCTGCTTGGAACTGTGGGCACAGCCCGGACAAGACGGGCACAGCCCAGAGGAATTGTCCCGAGCAGGCTCAGGGCACTCGGGTACTGAGCTGTCCTGCTGGGCTCCCTCCATGGGAGACACGTCCCGAAACCTGGGAGCGGCTGCACGGGCTGCCCATGGTGGGGAAAGGGCAGAGGGGGAGAGCAAGGCTCCCCTGGGTCCTGAGGTTAAGTCCGGGCAGAAGGGTTCTTAAAAACTTGCCCTGCTCCCTTCTGGAGCCCTGAGGGATCCCACAGGATGCCTGTCAGTGGGGGGAAGGAGCATTTAGCTGTCCATCCTTCTTCTGTGTGCAATGTCAATGTGTCCTTCTGTGTGCTCTGTGCAGCCACGCAGAAGAGCAAAACGGAAAGGGGCTGGGCCTAGGGCTGTGCCCCGGGGCTGAGCCTTGCCTGCAGCCTGAGGATCTCCTGCAGTGTCACAGGAGCTGTTCTGTCCTCCCTTTCTTTGCAGCTGAACCTGTTGGTGAAGGTGATCTGGCTTCCCAACCTACGTTCAGGATTGAGCCTCTGGGACATGGCGAGGGTAGGTCAAGGCCTTTCCCCTGGGAGAGCTGCCAGCTCAGAGCCCAAAGCTCGGCCAGGGGGGCATCGCTGCAGGTGCCAGGACAGAGCCATGCACGTGTGTGCCCTCACCCTGCACAAACCCCTCACACCTTCTGCTCAGGCCTGGCAGCTATTTGGAGGAAGGTGGGCCCTGGCCCAGCCCCAAAAGGCCAGATGGTTTTGAATCTTATCCCCATTTTTGATAAGCATGATGTCCTAAAGATGCCACCAAAAGAAATCAGAAATTGTTCCATCTGATCCAGCTGAACTTTTTCCTTTTTCAAGTGATAGCGCAAAAGGCAGGACAGAAAGGAGTGTTTCCCCAAGCAAGCAGAGGCCGACTGGCCGCCCCTGCTGCAGGGAAGGAGGAGATGCCAGACATGGGCACTGGCACAGGAGGTAATTGCTCTGCCACGGTCAGCCATTTAACTGGGCTGTGTGGTGGCACCTCTTCCCCCCAGGTCCTGCCCTTGCATGGTCCAGAAGCAGCCAATGCTGGAGGCACATCTGGAGCCTTGGAGGCCTCTGGAGCTCATTCACAGCCCTGGGGAAAGGGGACCCGTGCACTAATGTCCCTCCCACTGCAGCTGATCTGGAGCTGGCCCTGAGTGCCCAGAGGCCCAAGGCACAGGAGCAGCCCCGAGCGGGAGCCCTGCCGCGAACCCAGGGCCAGAGCCAGCCTTGGCTCCCGACTGGGCAGGGGCTGCACTGGGTCCTGACAGGGCCTGACTCTGTGCCCTGGGGCTGGGGGAGCTGTCACGGGGCAGGGAGGGCCAGGGCTGGCAGTGGCTGCTCAGGGATGGCTTTGGCCCGTGTCCCTCCAAGCAGCCACTGCCCAAGCAGCTGCGCTGCCCCCGGGCTCTCCTCCCGGCCTGCTGGGCTTTGTTGGGTGGCACAGCCTGTGCCAAGGGGCGGCAAGGTGCCCGCAGGCCCCAGCTCTGGGGCAAACGGAGAACGTCCTGCCCGCATCCACCATGCTGCCAGCTCAGCAGCGCAGCACCGCACGGGCTCACGCTCCCCTTTGCTCCCACAGGTGCAGCCAGCCCCACCACACATGTTCCGGATTCCCAGAAGGACCCTGGAAGGGGTTTCTGTAAGGGAACAGGCTGCTGGATAGGATTAATTGCAGGCCTGCTTTTTTTGGAGCTTATTTTCATCTTATTCTGTGTCCAAATTTGGACTTACTGGAAGAGAAAAGGGTGAGTGTTTTGTTCACTTTTCCCTAAAACAGCTTCTTTTAACAGTCTTATGTTGTAGACAGGAAATGTTCCCAGAGAAGCTGCTGTGGTGTTGTTGCCAGTCTGTGATTGTCCAGAGAAGCTGAGCAGCCTTGCCAGCTCTGGGCCCTGCTGTGCAGGAGGGTCCCTGTGGGCCGCTGGCAGCTGGGGCCTCAGCCACCTCCTCTCTCCACAGGGATGACTCTGCAGCTTCATAAGACTGCCCAAATAACTCAGCCAGGGGGAACTGGACCTGTCATCTCGCATCTCCGTGCCCGTGTCCGTTGTCCCTTCCACGGCTGCATTACCAGCTCATTGCTAGGGACAGCTTGTTGGTATCACCACCCAGAGCAGGAGCCTCTGTCCCCAAAGGTCCTGCCCCTGGTGTCCAGCCAGGCCAGGAGGTGCAGCCCTCCTACCAGGGATTGGCTTGAGCCTGGCAACATCTTTGGGGTTCAGCTCAGGTGTGTCTGTGCTACCACCAGCACTGCTGGAGCTGCTTGTCTGGGCACAGCCAGGGCTGGGCAGGCAGCAGCTGAGCACGGGGCTCCTGAGTCAAAGCAACCTCATTTTCTCTTTGTTTTACGTTTATACACAGCAGAACATTTTAGAAAAATTTAGAAACATTTTTTGTAGAAAAATATCCACAAATATTTCTTCCCTTTTCCCATTGTAGTTTAGTATTTTTCAAAGTAGTTTTAGAATTCTGAAAAATTTGAACAGTTTTACACTTGCCAAATAAAAAATAAAACTGCTTTTAATTGGTGATCATTACAGTTAGACGAACTAAGTCATCACAAGACACCCAGAGTTCTGGAGAGGCTCTTTTCCCACTGGAGATTTTTACCTTCTGACAGCAACAGACCTAAAGCCCTGTCCCTGATAATTTCCGGGATTTCTTACAAGCTCATCTCTCAGTCTTCAAAGGCAAACTTTGAGCACAGTGAGAATCTCCTGCTGTGCAGGAGGGTCTCTGTGAGCCAGCTGACACTGGGGCCTGTTTTGTAGAGATAAACGCAACTCCATGACTTTGTGAAAGTTGTAAAGTTGGTATGTTTATTACTGTGCTGGATGCATGTGGAGATTCCTCTCCTTAAAAGACATGTGTACCTCTGGGAACTCCAGATCCTTTTTCATCACCCTCTCAAATAGATATGCATCCAATTTTACGATAGGTTCATACATATTCATTTTACAAATTTGGCGTGACATTTACCGCTAGTTAATCTTTATCAGAAAGAATTCCCAGGTCAGGTTGGCCTCTTCTTACAGCAGTTCCTCTGTCTCTGTGTCCCCTGCCACCCCCTTATCTCTGTCCTTCACTGAAGCAGTTTCTCTGAGCCTAGGCTTTTTACCAGTCAGACTAAACCGCTATATTTTCCAACTACAGACTTAACTAAAAAATGTACATTTCGCCTAAATCAAAATGGATTTCTACTCTGGAAAATTTCTACTCTGTCTCTTTTCCCCCCTTTCCTAGAAAATAAGTAAATTCTTTTATCTAAAGCAAATCCCTATGACAATAAGTGTCTCTTAATGCTTTACCATGTACGTTTGATACGGAGGTTAACTCAGCTGTTCATTGTAGTATTCTCCAATTTCACATTAGCAATATAATGGATAACCCTAAAATTAGCTTATTCCAGCTAATATTAACAAAACTACAATGGAATGACACTATTTATTAAGGACAATTGCAATTGGTGGACACCCAAAGATCACATTCCACCAGTGATGATCTGCAGTTTCCTTTACTATTTGTAGAATTCTGCTTACTTCCTTGGTGTCATGTTAGACAGTAATTTAGGTTTTCTCTGTTTTCTGGAATTTCCTTCAAAATCTCCAGTAGGTCTGGTGCTTAATTGATTGTTTTACCAATGTAAGGTCCATCCCAGCAGGAGTAGGTGATGGTCTGTGTTGAATTGTGTAATTGGTTTTAATCAACTGGTGGGATGTCACTGGGGCCACGTACAAAAAATCACACCCGATAATCTTAAAAAAATTGCAAGCACAAAAATTAAAAATATTTCTTCTAGAGAAAAACGCATTGTTGCTATCATTTTTTACAGTAGCACAAGCAGTTCCCAGGCACACATAACTTTTACTAGTATATACGAGCACAGTTTTCTGATCAGTGACTGGATGAATCTCAAAGTGGCAAATACTCTGTTCAGTGTCTAGACACACATCTTGGCCATTAATTGTATTGCTTTCACAAATGAATCCTAGTTGTTCTCTAGTAATGCAGGATTCTAACTTTACTCTCTTGGCCACTTTTCATTCACCTTTCCTGCGCACACCCTATGTTCTGAAGGGTAGAGCACTGTTTTTTCATTATTTAATCCTAGTGCAACGATGGGGCGGATAACATAAACAGTGGCATTACGTATGGTAAGCACAAAGGCAGTGGCCACATTAGATGCAGGATCATAGGTGAAATTTAATATAGTCCACCAGGATTGAAACTTCTTTTCAAAATCAGTCACATTATCCCAGACAACTTTCCAAATTTCAGCTGGAAAATTACCTTCACCCCCTTCCCGTATGATCTGAGCTGCTGTTGCCTGCATCTATAACTCTGCTTTTATACATCTGAAAGCTAAAGACACATTATTTTGAACTGTACCAA